GGAAAAGTAGTGGAATCTCCAACTTCCAGCACTTAAAATTGCCTTCTGCCTGGAGATTGCAGTGAGTCAGTGAGTAGAGAAATCTGCCCCTGTCCTAAGCAAAGGATCACATCTTTAATTTGCAGGGAGGAGGTACTAGTACTGTTAAAGATCTGATTTGAAAGACAAAAGGATTTTTAGTTCTTCTGACCTGCTTGAGCAACATGAAACAAATACATTTTTGAGAGAATGAATGGGAAAGTGTTGTGTCCTCTCATCCTCTGCATTTCGTCTGCAACAGTCTAACTTGGAAACTCTCAGGGCAGGGATCACAGCTGAAACAAGCAGCATCTGAAAATCCAAACAGCCACTGCCCAGTTCCCAGCAAGTTTCCACTGTTCCAAATAATCATGAAATTAAGGCAACAAAAAAGCCACCGTATTGCATTTTGCAAATCCTAGCTCTCCAAATATGCCAATCTTAGCTCATGAAAGGAGTTGCTTTTAGGGAGGTTATGTGGTTGTTTGTTTATTGGACAGACCAGTGGAGAAGAAAGAAGAGGGATTGTTCCACCCCAGATTATTTTCTTTTTTTTTTTTAAACAAAGGTGGAGGTTGGGAAAAGGATAAAAGGACGAAACGGACAAAAATAATCAAATTCGGAAGAAAGGATGCAAATTAAACAGGCTTGGAAGGAGTTAGTAAAGTGCAAGCAGGACACAGAGACTAAACTAAAGTTAATTACTTTTGACATGATCAGATCATCTGGTCGCATTTCGGGCTGCGTGCACTCCGGGCTGGCCAGCGTGAATGGCGAGGGAAAAGAAAGTAACTCTCCCCTCTAGGTCCCTTTGCCAAGTCTGGGCTGCGCGCTCTGCCCGGGATCCCTCTTTCTTTGCTCGGAGAGAGAGAGGGGGAGAGGAGAGAGAAACACAGTTAACCACCTGTCAGGGCTGAGGACACAATAAGGCAGCCCCCAAAAGAGCTTTTCATGCATGCGTAATATATTTGTTCAGCTATTCACTTAATGAAGCTGATAAATGTGATGCGAAACAATAGTCAAGTTAATCTATTTAGTAAAATGTTTTGAGACTCTCAGGCGATGTTAAGGAGGGTTGTGTGCTCGGGGACATTTTCATTTCAATACGCTCATCTCTCCCCTCTTAGGGGGGTTTCAAGCAACCTATGTGAATATAATTTCTTATAAATGTGTCTTTAATGGGTTTAATTCACCCTTGCCAGCTGTTTTTTTAGCTATTTTGTAAGAGCAAAACAAACGTGCCAGGCTTGGAAAGCTAGTTAAAATTAGTTTCGGTCACTGGGGCCAAGCTATATTTCCTGCAAACCATCTGCTTGATTGGCACAATAGAAGGATTTTCAAGAAAAGGGGGGATCTAGAAGAGCTTTGAACGAACCAACAGTTACTGTTCCTTGTGCTTGAATTCTAAAGGTGAAGACTTAGGTGTCTTAATACAGCCTCGCCCCCGCAGCCTCCATTCAAGCTGCCGGCGTGGCCGATGAGCATCGTTTGGGAGCTGGGACGCACCAGGGACGGAGCATCCATCCCTCCCTCCTCCAGCCGCACCTTCCCCGGCAGAAAAAAAAAAAAAAAAAGGTGCTAAAGAAAAAAAAATAATTAAAGAAAACAGCCCAAAACGCGCTCGCACAGACGATTTCCCCGCAGTTTAGGGGAAGGAGAAGCCGCGGGACTTGCGACACCGGGAGGGCGGTGAGGGGTGCGGAGCGGCTCCCGCCCTGGGGAGGGAGGGAGGGAGGAGAAGTTTGGCTTCCACTCGGCTGCGGGAAGCGCCCGGCGGGCACAGGGGGCTGTCCCGCAGAGCGATGTCCCGCGTGGGGCCGGGAGCAGCGCCGCGGCGGTGATTGAGACGTCCGTCTCCCGGGGCCGGGGATGCGGGGAGAGGGATGGGGCTCCCGGGCGCGGCTCCGCGCCGCCGGGGGGGGCGCCGGCCCTGCCCAGCCCAGCCCAGCCCTTTCGTCTCCGGATTTGAAGTGCTGGCTCTCCCAATTTCATGCGGATTACCGGCCTCGGACCGGGACACACGCAGCTTCAACCCCCAACTCCCCCTCCCCACCCCCTACCCGCCGGTGGTTTTGGGTTTGGGCTCTTTTTCCTTTTTTTCCTTTTTTTCTTTTTTTCAACTTCACGTGACAAAGAAAGTGAGTGACTTTTAAGAAATAAATTTGAAGATAACGACATTAAAATGAATGGCAGGAAGCACAAAACTGCCTGAGCATAGGTCAAACGGCATTAGTCACAGGTTTTATCCTGAGACATTAGAATTCCCTTTCTCTTAAATGATCACTGCCTTTGAAAAGAAACTTCCAAAGGAGATCACTTAAAATAAGATCCTTTCGTCTGATTTCTTGGTTTCTTATGGTCTATCTTCCCTTTCAATAGATGTCTAGTCCCTTTTGCCGTGGTGCTTAAGGAATTCTTTACGAGTGTGCTCAGACGCATCACAAGGAACCGGGTCCACGCGTGCCCCAGCATGCGCTTGACCCAACCTTCCAGAAAATGTCAGCCCCTCTTTTTTAAAACCAGAGAAATTAGCAGCAGTTGGTCTATAGTGAGGCAAAATGCCCCCGATGTATAAGTAAAGAAAGGAGTAAATCATCTCAAAGGAAACGTATAATGACTGTAAAAAACTAAGTGTTCTCGGAACAGCCCGGGCGGAGCTCGCTTGGGGAACGCCGGGATCGCGGGGCGGCTGCGAGAGGGGCAGGGAGTAGGGGATGGAGATGGGACCCGGGGGCTAGCGGGGAGCCAGGTAATTATCTTACTGGGAAAACCCCGTTTGCTTTTTCCACTCCCTACCGTCCCGCTCGCTCGCCAAATAACACCTCGAGCGCAGCGCTGGGCACGGCCGGGTTTGGGATGAGCCCGGAGCGCTGTGGGTGGGGGCGAGGGGAGCGCTGAGCCCGGAGCGGGGCGGGACAGACCCCTGCTTCTCCCCCATCACCACCGACACCGCGGGGCCTGGACCGGGCGAGGGGGCAGGTGGCGGGGACCCCTCCGCACCCCCGGGCCCGCCGAGTCTGCCCACGCCTTCCTACCCTTTTTTTCTTTACCTGCTAAGCATCAAGATTAACAAAACCAGGGAGGGAGGGGGGGAACCTCCGGCGAGGTTTTATTTCAAAGTGATGCTTTCAGACAGCGGACCTTCCAAGTCAGCCTTCTGCAGCTGCTCGTCTGCTGGGGGCCGGCGTGCAGCACCGGGAAAGCTTGTCAGGATCATACAATTTCGAGGGCTGATTCCGTCCTCCCCAATAAATAACTTTTTGATTTGAATCAAGGGAGAGGTTTAACAGACTTTCTTTCTTCCCTAATGTGATATAAATCGCAGATGCACTTTTATTGAATGGTTAAAGCATCGACATGGAGATAATCAACACAAAACGTCCGGACAAAAACCATCGAGAGAAATAAAGCTGGTTAATAAGATTTTTGAGAAAGCTTTGTGTTAAAAAGTAAAAAGGGAAAACAGCTGAAGGTGACAGTTAGTTCATGGTTAATAGGATAAAGGCTGCATGGTTGAGCTGCACACTTCTGCTTGCAAAGGTTCAGACACACCAAAGGACTGAATAGGGTGCTTTTAAAACATAGGACATTTAACACATCTGTTATAGTCTTTAACAGAGAAATCAGGTAAAATCACTCTCAATAGTTGCTTTCATCATCCACCTCCAAAGGAAACTAACTACACTTGCGTCTATTTCCATATTTGTCATCACAAACAAAACCTCTCTGCCAGAAAAAATCCCGATTTGCTGCTTTCCCCTTAGACGATGTCATTTTTCCCTCGCACCGAAATCAGGGGACTCCGGGCTCTGCTGCACTGAGCCAACACACCTTCCGAAACCCTGCACACGCCCGGAGATAAAAAGCGAGACCAGGTGTATTTGGCTGCTTCGAGCCATCGACACCGCCAAAACCGAGAGCAGCTCAGGCAACTTCAGCCGAAAGGACCCGAATGCTACAAGGTTTATTTTTAATGTAGACAGGCAGCAGACTGAGAACCCGAGGGGGTTGCTCTGGTCCCACAAAGCTGTTTAGGTCTCTCCTGTGTGCAGTATTCGGATTTTGTGGGAGCAGAGTTCTTATCGGCCACATCAAGGCTCACATTTCGGATCGGTCTGGGCAAGCCCCTCGCCTGAGCACACGTACACAAGACGTTCACGAAGCTCGGATTTTGCGAGGAGAGGCTGACACCGCAAATATGCTTTATTCCAGACCTTTGACGCGCAGATAGATAAATAACCCCAACTACACCCACAGATTTGGGCTCACACTAATAGCAGGAGCAGAAGACGCTCAAACCATAGCGGGATCCGCTCTCGCAGTATTCTTCCCCTTCGACAGAGCTTAGTTCCACGTTTTCTAATTTATATTTTCAAATTCACAAAACCCGTGGTTTTCTAAGAGCCCACAGATAAGTTTATATGAATATTTATTGATTTATTTCCTAAACTCAGCAGGGGAGAGGCAAATAAATTTAGTGCTTTCTTTAAATAATTCCCTTTCTACGAGGCAAGATGTCATTCGAAACTTTTAAATAGGCATTTAATTAGCCTGTGTGTGTTGCCTCTGAACAAAACCCTGCTGGGAGCCTTTGGAGCGCTGTATTCCAAAGAGGCGGTCAATATGCAAAATTGATGACTACACTTTCTTTGTGGCGGGGCCATTGTGCCCCGGTTGCTTATGAAGTCTAATCCAATCATAAATTGCAGCCCCGGACCAATGGAGAAGCCGGGAGCTCGCCCTGAATGAAGCTCAAGTGGAGAACTTTGTTGAACCCCATTGTTGGGGCTGTCACTTTTGAAAGAGCCTCAGCGGGGCTGACCACTATAAAACCCATGGTCCAGGAGGAAGGGGCAGAGAGAACCCCGCCAGACTCGCTGGCTGGATCTTTACCAACCCAGGTTCGCAAAGCAGAAAACAAAAGCAAACAAACAAACAAACAGGCGAGCGGCCCCAGCCCGGCTCCGCGGACGGCCCCTGCGATGATGTTCCCCAGCCTCATCGCCCCTCCAGCCGTCTACCCCAGCCTCCTCCGGCCGACCCCCACCCTCACCTTGCCTCAATCGCTGCAGTCAGCGTTTTCCAGCCATTCCAGCTTCCTGGTGGAAGATTTGATCCGGATCAGCAGGCCCACCAGTTACCTGCCCAGGACTGCCCCCCCGCCCAGCATGTCCCCCCCGACCTCGGCGGCCAGGACGGACTCGGGGACGCCGGAGCTCCCCAGCTCCACCACCGCCGGCTCCAGGAGGATCTGTTCGCCGCAGACTTCCAGCAGCGACTCCACTTTCCTGAAGTTTGGGGTCAACGCCATCCTCTCCTCCGCCCCCCGAGCCGGTAAGCGGGGGAACAGCCCGAGCCCCGCCGCGGGTCGGCGGCTCCGGGGACACACTGCCTTGCAGGAGGGGTTGACGGGGGAAGAAGAGGGAGCTTTAGGAAAAGGAGGCAGGACCTAGTCCCGAGCTGCAGAGCCCTCCCGCATCGCTCGTGTTTCACGGGCGAGGGGCAGCGCTGGCGGGCGGCGGGTCCCACTCCGCAGCAGGACGGAGGAGAGGGGTGGGGGGCAATCCCAGAGACGAGAGGTCCCACAGCCGTATCTCCCGGCTGGCCCTGCCCTCACGGGTGCCGCGTTGCTGGCAAAGCCAGCAAAAGTGCCATTTTCCCTCGGCTGTCCCGAGCTCAGTCTGGCTCTTTTTTAATTTTTGAAAAGTACCACTGCGTTGGTTCCCAGACCAAGGGACAGACCCAGCCGTGCCGTCGGTCGAGTCCAAACGGAGGTATAACCCCACGCTTAATTTAATTTTATTTATTTACTAGAAACCTCCCCTGCGCTACTTCAGAGCGTCCCGCCAAAGACTTTCTCCTTTCCGTACTTTGAAGGATCCTTCCAGCCCTTTATCAGATCTTCCTATTTCCCAGGTAGGTGTTCTAAAAGACTCCCTCTCTCCAGGCGCAGCCCGGTGATATTTCCCCGTCCCCCCCTGCTCGCCCCGCCGGGGTTATGCTCCAGTTCAGAGGTTGGAGGGAGTACAACATTCAAGCATCAGTCGCGCCAATTTGCTGCCCGATTTAGCACAGGCAGTGGCTGCCTGACATTCCCTGCCCGCTCCCCCCGCTGATCCGCAAATTAGCCGGGATTGTCACGGTGCTGAGGCGAGGCGGGTCCCCTCTCTCCCTCCCTTCTCCCTCCCAAGCGCTGAGCCCCGGGGTTTCAGCACCACGAGGAGCGGTCAGCGCCCGCCGCCCGCGCTCCGCGCCCGCGCAGGGAGGGAGGGGAGGAGGGAGGGGAGAAGGAAGGGAGGGAAAGAGGGAGGGAAGGAGGGAGGCGGCCCCGTCCCCGCCGCCCTGTGTGTCCCCCAGACTTTCCGCCCCCGGCCGCGTTGCAGGAGGATCCGTCGCACTGCGAGAGCGGCGTGACTGCTCTCGCCCTCCCCTCCATCACCTCCACCTCGTACTAACGCTTCCCTCCTTCACCTTCCCGGTCAGACCATCAAACAACATGGTGCAGGCGACAAAGCAGGCTACGGGGAGATGATTCTTACGGCACTGAAGTATTACGATACTGGGAGAACAATTAAAAAAATAATAATAAAAAAAACCCACCCCGAAATCTAATTACACAAACAAGCTATTAATTTAAAAAGAAAACAGGGAAAAGGAGAGAGGAAGAAAAAATAACCCAAGCTCTTCCATTCATCCTCCGGATAATGGAATTTGCTTCCTTTCTCCAGCATGTGAATAGCCTAACAAAAACAACTTGAGCTTTATAAATAGCTTTTCATGTCCATTTAATGAAAATGATTTGGGGAAAGAGACGATTGTGCCATCAGTATTCTCCCGAGGAGCCTGGCATGCCGTTGTGTTTAGTTTGAAAGTGTAAATCTCTTTTGTTCCAATAATATATGGCGTTAGCTGCTTGTCCTCAGTCTTTTTCTGTTAGTTCATTACTACACAATTACCATTCACGCTTCATTAGCATCTCTGTCTCTCTTGGGGAGGTTCCCCCCCTCCTTTTTTTTTTTTTTTTTTAAGGCGAAACTCTGCCCTTTTTTATCATACTAATGCCATTGGGAACCAGGCAGTGTGCTAATTAGCTGTTACTTTTCATGTCTTCGAATTGAATTCTCCAACTTTGGGGGGGGGGGGGTAGAGAAGAGATTATTATAAAAAGATGAATACTGATTGATCAAAACTGCATCTGAAGAGGAGCGGTTTTGTTCGGAATCAGAAAAGTCCTCATTTTCATCTCGAGCATAATAAAGCATCTGAAATGATAAAAGCATCTGAAAAAAAAAAAATCAAATGCTTCTGAGCGGGAGGGAAAGCTTTTTTATTATACCTCTATCTTAGCTGGTACGCCTCGCTTTGCCTTTTCAGGCCGGAGACCTTTGAATCTCCCAACAAAAACGGCCACTATTGATCCATTTTACACATTAGAGTCGATAGATCTAATCCCGGCCATCGCTGCCTGAAAAGGCGGGCGCTTAGTTAAGCCTAAAGCTTCTTTTCACGCCCCAGGTTGATGAGTGCCCGCCAGGAGGGCAGGGAGGGGTCTGCTCTGCTCAGTACTGTGTGTCCCTCCCACAGCTGCCTCCGCCGTGGTCCCCATCCCTGGTACCTTCTCCTGGCCGCTGGCTGCCCGCGGGAAGCCCCGCCGCGGGATGCTGCGCCGCGCCGTCTTCTCCGACGTGCAGCGCAAAGCGCTGGAGAAGATGTTCCAGAAGCAGAAATACATCAGCAAACCCGACAGGAAGAAGCTGGCAGCCAAGCTGGGCCTCAAGGACTCGCAGGTGAGAGGGGGCACCGGGTGGGGAGGGCAGAGGGTGTGTGGGGAGCACGGGATGGGAGCACGGAGAACACCCAAAGCAAGTTACAGGGCTGTGAGCGTCCACAAAGGCAAAAATGGCACAATTCCCAGCTGGGTGAGCAGGACCACAGCCTTCTTACCCTCTCTTAGGGTCCCTCAAAGATCAGATTGTGTGGTTCCTGTTAGCTTTGATGTGGGCCATGTGCAGGGTTTCGAGAATGCAAGCCAAACACTTTTCTGGTCCCTGTTTTACTGAACCACTTCAATTCTTTATTGCTCTGACCCCTAGGTGAAGATCTGGTTCCAGAACAGGAGGATGAAATGGAGGAACTCCAAAGAGAGGGAGCTCCTCTCTTCAGGTGGCTGCAGAGAACAGACCCTACCTACCAAGTTCAACCCTCACCCTGACCTCAGTGACGTGGGCAAGAAGTGTTCAGGCGAGGAGGAGGAGGAGGAAGTTCCCCCGCGTGCCCACCCAGCCCCCGGCATCCCTTAACCTACCACCAGTCCCCAGAACATCTACACCTGAGGGACAGACTGGACTCCCAGATGTCTCCTTCGCCGTCCCATTCCAGCAGCCCCAGCAAACCTTCAGACTTCTCAGACTCTGAGGAAGAGGATGATGAAGGGGAAGAGGAAGAGGAGGAGATAACTGTCTCTTAGATCACTTGCCTGCCCCTACCGTCACGTGGGGACACTGCAAAGATGTAAATAAAACAGAGTGCTATAAATTGAAGAGGTGATGTCCCACCCCAATGTCCACATGCTTCTTCAGTGCAGGTTCTTAATCACATAGCTGCAAGCCTTCCTACTCACTGGTATTCCTTATTTGTTGCCCCATGTGGAGGTTTTCACATTCATAGTATCTCCCAACCTTTTCCTAACTCTCTCTGCTTAACAATCAATATTTGCTCAATTAGTTTACCTCCTCCCAAAAAAAAAACAAACACCAGGCAACAGGCATCTCCTGGCTTTACAGCAAGGAGGAAAATATAGCCTGTTGGAAGGGGAAACCTTTTCCCCCTGATAAGGAACATCAAAAAATTCAATATAGATGCTGTGGCCATTCACCTTTCAAGTGAATTTCCAGCTATCATTAAGATATCAAAACCCTGAAGGCTGGTCTGATCTGGCAGCCCTTTCCTCCTAAAGTAAATAACACTGAGGGACACAGACCAAATGCTGCCTCCCTCCTCACACCAAATAGCACCATACTTGTGCATCAGATCCGTTGAAATCCCTGGAATGACTTCCAAGGTATAAAGTAAATGTGCCTTGTGTAACAGAAATCTTATATATTTATGTTTATCATTTTAATTTATGCCTCAATATTGTATTCAAGGCATTGTCTAACCCACCTTTTTGTCCACGGGCTTCTGATTATTTCCTACTTTGCTTCTGCTATCCATGGTGTGGACAGAGGGAAGTGGATACACCTCTTTGATTTTTGACTGAACTTTGCTGTCTTTGCACAGCTTTTATGAACTGTACACTATTTTGTACACTTACTCTGTATGGATGTTTTATACCAAGGTTATTGTGAATGAATATAACAATGGCTCAGCAACGCTTCTCTCCCTTTTTTTTTTTTTAATTAAATGACAGCTAAACTACAGATGAATGTAGCTGTTTAATTGTGTAACTTATAAAGAAACACTTTTATTTTGTATTTTACCGTGTACAGACTTTAAATATGTATATATATTAAAGTGGATGATTGTCAAATAAAAGAAATGTAGATTTACAAATTTGATCATTTAGTAACACTTGGTTCTGGTTAACAACTTGTAGCTTGTATCTGGGAAAGAAAACTACTTTTTATCAACATGTGGTGATTCAATAAGAATTTATCAGTTTCGAATCAAGTAGCTTGACAAGAATATCTATCTGCCTTTTAACTGGAGAGCAACTCAACCAAAGGACTCAAGACTTACTGCAGTTAAAATGCAGTTGCATTTAAAACCAACTTAATTTGTGCTCTCCTCTAAATGCCTTCTGACCCTCCTCCTTCATCCCAGTTACAGCCCAGCTGGGTCAGGGTGTGGGCACTTAGTGACACACCACTGACTGCAGTTTGTAGACTGGGAGCATGTAATTAGACTGTTCCTGGAGGGCAGACAGAGTGAAAGAGGTTCACTGAGGACAACTCTCCAGCCTTAAGATCAGTCAAGGATCACTGCTACAACACAAGGCAAATCCACAACCAACTACCTGCTTATTCCTGTTAGATACAAATGCACGCTACAGAAATGTCAGTGTTATCATACAGATAGCAGAGTTCTTCTGAAACAGAGATTTCATCACAAAACTAATATATTTTCTGCTCCACAGTCTCTAACGCCCACCTTTCACACCCACCAAAACAACAGAAACAAATGCAGCAGACGTCACCTGGACACAACTACTCCTGTGTGCTCCACTTCACTGCCACAGCCCCAAGGGAAGGTGTGAGAGGAGGAAGAGAATGATTCCACTTGGAAGAGACCTACAAAAATCATCTAATCCAGTTGCCTGATCACTTCAGGGCTGGCCGAGAATCACATCATTGAAGGTCATTGTCCAAAAGCCTCCTAAACACTGCCAGGCACAGGGTACAACCACACCTCCCCTCCCCCGCAAAAACCTGTTCCAGGTCTTGAACTACTTTCCAATTAGGTAATTGGACACCCCTAATGCGGGACACATTGTGACACTCCTAGTTTTCTACCTCTCTGACACCTTAAAGCCATTAGCAGTTGATAATATACACCTGAAATGGGGCAAGTGGAATAGCAAAAAAAAAAATGGTAAAGGCACCGACAGTATTTGTCCCACACATATAACACAGCAAAACAGCAAAAGGGTTTGTTGGGTTTGGTTTTGTTGTGTAGTTGTTTTATAAAAAAAATATTTTCCCAAGCATACCTAAAACTTCACACAAATATGCATTAAACTGGTGCAATCTCAACCATGGTCAAACTAAAAAGCGGATACATGCTTAACAATGGTGTATATACTGAAAAAAATGTGTTGTTATTCATCTGTTGCCTCTTTAAGTGATAAGACACTCAATGGCAATAATGTATAACTTATAATTAACAGTATCACAGTTTAACCCCAGCCAGTAGCCACTTTCTCACTCCCCCATCAGTGGGATCAGAAAGGCAAAAACTGGAAACTCTTGGATTAAGAGTTTAACAGGGAAAGCAACAACCATGTACACAAAGCAAAGCAAAATAAGGAATTAACTCACTGTTTCCTATAGGCAGGCAGATGTTCAGCCATCTCCAGGAGAGCAGGGAACCATCACATACAACAGTTCCTCAGGAAAACAAACACCACCCTCTTCCTCCTTCTTCTCCAAGCTTTATATACTGAGCATGATTGTCACATGGTCTGGAATAGCCCTTTGGTCAATTGGAATCACCTGTGCTGGCTGTGTCTCCTCGCAGCCTCCCATGCACCCCTTACCAGTCACTGGGAAGAAAATCAACTCTACCCTGGCCAAAACCTGCACATCCAGTAGGCAGAAGACTATAGTTAAGTAACTTATAAAGGCAGATCTACTTTAAAACATATTTTGGTTTGTAATCCAGTGGCTACTCCAGAGACCACAGGTACTATCACACATACTAAAACACTCAAAAAAGGAATATGTTCATTCCTTATGCATAACCTCTCCTGATTCACTGTTCAACAGAAAACTGCTGATCTTCTTATACCCTCTGCTCTTTACAGTTTGTCTGTTCTAAGAACATTATCAACAATAACTACTTACAGACTTCTTCTTTTACCATGAGGGCTATTACATCTTATGAGGAGAGACAAATAGCCTTACTAAAGGAAAAATAACATGGAATTGTCGTTTCACATTTACCCAAAATGTTACATTTATTAATCTTACTCTTTTTTCTTTTCCCCTTTCAAGGGCCTTTGGTTTTTTTGGTTTTTTTTTAATGGCAAAAAGAACGTTGTGTGACTACTAAGGACAACCATTTGAGATTCAGGAGTACCTTGCTATGAAATGAAAGGGCTAGTTTTTTTTATTTACCAACAGCTGCCACACTGCAGGAAGAAGTTTTCCTTCTCCAAGGCTTCCCTTTCATACCCTGGATGAGGAATCCAGAGCTCACAGCTGTCGTGGGATGGCTCATGGGGCACAGCTGTGCCAAGGGAAGTACTGAAGAAGCAGCCACCTTTTCTGAGGTCTTATATGTCAAAGGCATAAACTTTTACTCTCTTACCTCAAATGTGGAGAGATTCTAGTCACAGCAGGAAGATCTAATGGCATTGGGAGTTCAGCTTGGGTGTATTTCTGAGAGCAAAATGCTTCATAATTTGCTGTTAACATGCAGAGTGTTGGAGCCCTGTTACATGAAACTAGCTCAGCTCTCTCTCTCTGTTTTTAATGCATCTCTCTGTACGATTTGGGAAAGGAGGAAAGGTGATAAGAAGCCTTTCCTGCCTTCATGAAGATGGAAGGATTTCTGTAATGAGTAGCAGTATCCACAGTTTTGGAAACTCTGTGTAATACACTCCCATAACAACTGCTGCTTTATGATATTAAAGTCTCCTTTTGAAAGACCCAGAAACCTAGAGGGGTCTTATATGTCTTTTCTTTCTTCTTGGAGCCAGGAGGGAAATCTCTGGAACTTGGGAATGGCTAAGGCAGAGAGAGGGATTTAACTTTGGTGACTGCAAGCTCAGGGCAGCAAATTCTCAATTATTTTATCCCTTAAGAAACCAGCTGGTTCGACATCTGTGCCTGCTGTAACTCCAATCTCCCCCAGCGTGGGAGAATGGCCTTTGGACAGGGGAAGAAAAGAAAATGGATCACTTTCTCAGGGAGTCTGTGCTGTTGCTACCTGCAGAGCTGTACCGTGACAGCCCCAGAGCGTGACCCTCTGGTCCCCCCCTCCCTGGTCCAGTGCCCTGCACAAGTGGAAGAAGGCTGTGAGGCTGGAAAATTGTGGAATAACATTGCCAGAAACACTGTTGTGGATGAGGTTCAGTGGCTCACACAGACCTGAGCTTTTATGAGGTTCTTCCTCCCCCACCGGGCTTGGGCTTTGTGTCCTAACATCTGTTTTGCACTGGGTGGTGCTGGTTCATTACGATCCCAAGTGAAAAGATTATCACATGCTATTTATTGGAGCTAACACTGTAAGCTGAGAGCAGCAGAGACAACCTCGTGTCCCTTTAGATGCTGGGAACCCCGAGTGGTGTAGCACTGAAGGGGCCCCTCTCCACACACAGCATGCTGGTCACACCCCATCCACAGGTGTCATTCAAGACGTCTTAGGAAGGTTTTATCTTCTTACAGCTAAAGAACTCTATTAATTATTTCTGCTGTCAAACAGAAAGGATGTACTCATGAGAACTTCTTGCTGCATGGTTAGATAAAGCCAGGGGCACGTGGGTGGCTCAATCCCTTGGCTCCTCTGCTGGAGTGGGCTGAGTTCATCCCGTGGACGAGGGATTTGCGCAGCACAGCACAGCCCAGTCCTGGGCATTCTCAGCTTAACTGTTAGGTTATACATACACCAGCTCCTTGATGTGCAATGGCCTTTCAGTCAGGATTACTACAAGGTATCAGTGGAATCACAACATGCCAAGGGTGTAAATACACAGGCTGCAGACAAGAGCTTGTAAAATTACACCGGAGAATTTCACTTTTCCATTGC